AAGTAGCTTCTGAACAACTGCAGTTTACAGCTAGTGTTTTAAAGTAAACTGGCTCTGCTTTTCTCAGAAATGTCTATACAGATGTGTATGTGGCAATACAACTGACCTCTGTCCATGCTCTAAGCCCACTTGACATCTGTGGATTTGTATCCTAGAAGCCCTATAATCATGTTACAATACTTGTGTCTGAACAAGCAAGGCCTCTGAAAAATGAAAGGTTTCAAAAAACCATCATTTAGGCTGCTGCACATCTATTTTTATCATTCAGACAACCTCTGAAGACTAATGTGTCCAGAGTTGATCACCATGGCCCAAAATATAAATACCAAAATTTTATAACATTCAGTAAATAAGTTTCAACAGACAGTAAGACATTTCTATAGTGCGGGGGGGGCAGTGAGTGAGCAGCTGTGTGGTGCTTAGTTGCTAGCTGGGGTTAAACCACAGCATGCTGGGAATAAATTCTCAAAAAGTTCATCATGCATTGAGAATAAAAATTCACAGATTTTTCATACACATGCTTGAACGTTCACATTTCCCTACTGTTCCTCAGCCTATGATGTGGTGTCTTTACCAGCTGTGAAATTCAGCAAAATTGTTAATAACCATTAACTAAATACAGGCTACAAGTTCACAGGAATTAAGAGAACAAAACATTAGACATTTTGGAAAGGAAAGCTGGAAGTCAGTTTGCAGGGAGATAGAAAAAAAAAGATCAGATTATACATTAATTAATTGTTACTGAACTTTACGGTTTTGAAGCAGAATTTTACAGCTGCTCCTGAAGAACATGATCCCATCTTGGTAGAATGCAGTGAACCCTTCCCTTCTCCCCTTTCTTTAAAATTAGATTTCCAACAAGTAGTATTTATATAATAATTTTCTTCCATCAGAAAAGCATTATCTGTCTTTTTTTTGCAGTGATGTGCAAGCAAAAGCAATTGCTTTCATCATTTCCTTCCCCTTTTAACGCAACCACAAACAATTTAAAACAAACTACTTACTGGCGCATTTCTCAGAGTGCCTGTGTCTGTATTTACTGTTTCCATAGAAAAAGGCTTTTCAAAATACTTCTGTATTAAACATTCAAAAGAGGGAACTGTGTCGCTGGGGTTTATCAGCCATGCTGCAATCCTTGGATCTAACACGACACTATCAGCAACTACAAAAATAAGTTATTTCTGACAATCAAGATATAGAAATTACCTCCCATACTGAGAAATAACTCTAAAGTTTTGCCCATCTTTCCTGTAGACACACATCATGAATAGACAAGCATTTACACTACGAAAAAGTTAAACACTGAATTCACAGCTGTAACAGTCAATATCATGACTACATAGGAGTAAGTTCAATATTGAATATTTTTGAAGAGGGTTTTTTTGTGGGTTTGTTTTTTGGTTTGGGGGGGTGTCCAAGTTTTAAAATGTAAGTAAACCTTTGGTTCTTAAGATTGACTGTAAAAGCCTCCCTTTCTTATCACTGAAAAATTTCCAGTTGAAGTTTTTCTTGTGAGCGTCTTTCTCTGATACAGTTTTGTTGTTGCTGTTAACTTGATTGATATCCACAAAATCGCTCTTGGGGGTCAAGGGAGAGAAGATTTACTTCCTAGCAATCAGACTTCTGAGATCTTTAATGTATATGTGAATTCACATATGGGTGCACAATGCATTGTTCCCAAAAATCAGAACCTTTTGTCCTATAGGATCATATGTGCTTACACTGCACTTTGTCATGTTCATAGAGATACATAGGATGGAGCAAGCCTAGTGCTGTTTCATTTCCCTTTTAACTAAAATCTCAACACAAGTACTGTAGTACTACAAAGAGGAGAGAGAAACTAGTAACTAGAATGCTTTGTGATATATCCAAAGATAGATCTAAGTATCCTAAGTAAGTTAAAATGACAACCCACAAGTACATTTACAGAGACCTCCATGCTACGCAACCTTACAGACTCAGTTACCTGGAAGCAAACTAGTGTCCATAATGCAAGTTACAGCTGCAGGACTATTCTAAAGAGAACCAGGCTTGTTCACCTCCACTGATATAACTGTTGCTGAAAAGAACTTCATGTGGCTGCTCAGCAGATGTTAGGGAATGAGACATCTTGCCCCTGAATCAGCTTGAGCTCTGCTGGAGTGGCTGGATAACCGAAGGATACTTCATCTGCATGGTCTCATAGCAGGATTTTATGTAGCTCACTATCCTTTTCTCTGAATGCAAACAGCTATTCACTTCAAAAGCTAACAGATGCTAAGGAACAGCCTCAGAAATTGTCTCAAGGATACCCTCCTGACAGTACTACTAAGAGAGTTTTTCTGTGATTGGAAGGACAGTCTTAGCCTTGGAATCGTGCAGCTTAAGAAAGTATGTCAAACTCTGCATCCACTTCAAAACCAAGCTTTGGATGTGTCCACGGGATTTCTACCGCTCTTTCAGCGGGAAGTAATCCCGACAGAAATTAAATGAAACTTTGACAACTGTAACAGATTTGCCACAAACTCAGATGATGCATCGTGAAGAGGCAGACTAAGCAACACAGCCTCACTGATGGGCAGAAACACTCGGCAGCTGATGGCTGTTGGAAAATGCCCAGAGGCTGCAGGAAGGCTCTGCCTAGTGACATGCTGGACATTCACAAGCTCATGTGAAGACGGCATGAAATGAGCACTGACTTTTCTAGTAACTACTACATCTTACCAAGGATACATGGAAGAAGAGAATCCTGTTACCAAATAGTCTCTGAGACTATTGATCCTTTTCTGATCAGATTCTGAAAAGATCCTTTTCTCGTATGTCTATTTACAATGAGCACGAGACAGTCTCTAGCTGAAAAAGGATAAAGAATCAAACCCCCCAACCATCCATCCATCCCTTCCTTCCCAACTAAAATTTTCACCAAAGGTGAGGGTAGCAGTAATGAGTTATAGCCACCAATTCAGTCCCGGAAAAAGGACAACACCTTCAAGGGGAGGAGGCGGCACATATGGAACTGAGACAGAAAGCTGAAAGGAGTGAAGCAAAACTAGGGTCAAGCTGGGATGAAGTGAAGAGAAGAGTCTGTGCTGATAAAAGCATACTTTCCTCAAGATTGTGAAATGGTACTCAAGTCCTGTCCTCCTTCTGCTCCGAAACATTAGTGAATCCCAATGGCAAAGCATGCCATATTTTACTAGTCAGGGCTAAGGTATCTGTACGTATTCCACTAGTTAGTACACTAGTTTGAGAATGAGTGCAATCATTCAAGCAATTGCAGTCAGTATGACATAGACACAAATTTCAGTGTTTGCTTGATTTACAATGATGGGATTTTTTACCTTAAAAAAGGCAAGGGTTTTGTGTTGGGTTTGGTTTTTTTTACCATAGCAGAAATAATGGGTGAGGAAGCATCAACTTCCAAAGTTTAAAAAAAACCTAGACAAGAATTCTTTTGGATACTAGAAACTTCAGATTCAAATCCTATGCATCAGATAGGATCTAACCTAGATCTAGTATTTCCTGTGTGTACAGGTTATAAAACTGTTGCTAGTGCCAGTACCATCATGACGTTTCTTCCCCCCCTTCCCATTCCCAGGGCTAAGTGTCTTTTGTGTAGATCTTCACACCAGATTCTAAATCATCACCAGTTTACTGTGATTTACTGATGAAACTTTTCAGATGCTGAACACAAGCTGAAGACTCTCCATAGAGGGAGTCCTTCCTGAAAGGTCACACTTGTTTTTGTAATTCACTCAGCAGTAATCCGATACATAGAACCAAGGGGGGGGGAGGGGAAATCATATTTACATCTTATATCTTCTGTTTGTAGTTGCTTTTAAATCCATACAAAAGAGTCTTATTTGTTCCTATCAAAAAAAACAAGGACCCAGTCAAGTGATTCCTAATTCTGACAACTATGAGCACCTCTGGAATTTATTTTAGCCTTTCCTCTTGAGCAGAGAAAGTTTTTCTAGGGAACATGAAACTTGAAACAGTTTGACCTTTTCAGCTATAATCTGGACTGTGTTGAGAGCTTTTGTTTCCACTGGAAGCTATCCTTAAATTATTCAATGATTTGATTCCTACTCTGAGAAGAAATACATCATCTTGACATGCCAAGCCTCTGGTCACAACCTCCCCAAGAAGGGTGTTCTTTTCCATGGTACTAAAACCATGGAAATATTTTATTACTTATTTATTATTACAATATATTACTTAACCACCAATCTTGTTACTTCTACACCTAGTGATTTTAAGAGAAACATCAAAAGCACAGGGATTGTAGGATTAGATCATAGATTAGATAGTTACCTTGTTTCCAGCTAATTTCATTACCATAAACTTGAAGTAGAGTCCTCAGGAAATCTTTTGCGTTGAAGCAAATAATCGGAACTTTGCAATGTAGCATTTGAAACAACACTTGCCTGCACAGAAGCAGTTCATTAACACACGCTATATTGCTACTAGATTTAGTGAATCTATTTACTTTATATATTTAATTAGCACCTAATACTAAACAGTTAACACAAGACATTTCTTTATTCCTGTAAGAACAGAATACTGTATTTTAATATTAAATTCTCAATTCAATAATACCTGAAGCTTCATTCTATAATAAATTAAAACATCCTAGCAGATATGCCTTATCATGCATTCACAAAGAAAACACATCCTTATTTGACACTCAAAATTAAATGCAACTGGCATCCCTGTAATACTTTAATATACCCAGATAAGATCACAGAGGCTTCTGAGTTAACGTAGTATTGTAAAATCATGATTTAAAAGTTACTAGACAATCTAAATTGCCATAATTGCCTAGTGTTAATATGCTATTTAAACCTAGTATGCTTCAACTTTGTCACGTTTTTCCATTCCTTTTGAGAATGCCTATAGTTCCCACATCCATGCTATTTTAAATAGATCTTACCAATTATTTATATTAGTATATAGATCTTACTAATTATTTGTGTCTTTTTTTTTTATAAGCTCTATTTTAGGCAATATAGAAAAATAATAATTTTTATAGTGCTTTCAAGTTTATCTTTGATGGTATGAAACCACAGCACCAAGTTTTTGGACATATTAGAAATTGTGTAGATCATAAGGTATTATTGTATACAGTGTAGATTCACTATGAAACACCTGCACCATTCTTACAACAAATAATTACCTACAGGTTTCATCTAAATGCTAATACACTTATTCAATTTATTATTGAATTTTTACTGTTCATATGTAGATGCTTTATTGATATGTTATTCTCAATTCAGAACAACCTATATTCAAACTAACAACAAGTTATTAAACTAGTTGTCATGTAACTCCAATATTACAGCTGGAGAAGTACAGGTAAGTGAAGTGATTTGTTTCAAGTCACAGTAGTTGCAGCTCTGCCACTGCTCCAACAACCAAGTCCACCATCTTGAAAATGAATGCTTTGTAATTTAATAACCCAAATTCAGCAGTTTACAATAAAGCAGTTATTACTGAAAGTCAAAATATTCTAATGAAGTTTTAACATGCAACTGTTACATCCAAGAATCAGATTCAGTTCTCATTTCTCCCTTTATGGGATACTATTTCAAAGTTAATAGGAATAAAAACGGATTTTGGTTAAACTAACTGGAAGTTTAAAGCATAATCCAACTTCTTTTAAAATTTAGTCCAACTATTAAACAGATACATAAAGCATTTACTTTACAAAATTATCTTGTAATTTTGATGTAACATTATTACTGAATATTAAGAAAACTTCATTCAGGATCTCAAAAGCCATTAAAAAAGCCTATTGTGCTCAAAAAATTAAAAATATTAGCAGAGCTCTAAAAGGATGTTTACCATAATAACGTACATCAAAAATGTACTAGCTAAGAAATGCAGTTCAGGAAATGGAAGATAAAATTCAAGATAGATAAACCTGGATGAATCATATTTTTTGGTGCCATATAGCTGTAAGCTGTTCATACAGGATTTCTAGGCAAATGTAAGCAGCTCCTACCAGAATCTCAACCTAGTTCTGCAGGGCTGCAGTTAGTGATATGCTGAGCCCAAAGCAATAGTCTATTCTTATTTGGTTTATATTAGCCCAGGCTTGACACAGAACTAATACAGCTAATATGAAATTCAATGAGCTTGACATGTAAGGACATTAAGCCTGTGCCATGTAACCAACATCACTGTTGCTAAAAGCCTATATAAAGCAAAACAGTATTTTTTCCTACATACTCTCACCAAGCAAATTTCTTGTCAGCCTGTTGTTCTTGTTCCCAAAGAGATGACCATTCAGTTTTTAAATAAATTAATTTATCATTTTCATTAAGAGCATTCCAAGTATAGTCAGTTGAAGAGTAACTGGGAGGGCAAGGGTGATCAGTCTGATTCTTCACTAACACAACAACTCCTTTTACTGATGAGGTTAAGACCTGTTAAGTATAATTACAATAGTGTTTCCTCTGACAGATTTTATGCAATCCTATAAAGAAAGTTTCCCAAATATTTTACAATATAAAACCTATTACATACACTAGAGTTATTGCATACACCATTGACACAGGAGAGGAGCATGCAAGTGTCCCAGCCTTGAAACAAAAGTTCACAGTGAGAGACATAGTAAAAAGCAGGAAAAAAAACCCTAGTTCAAACAGCCTCACTTTAAGTATAGAAATGCCTGTTTAGCCCAAGCGGTTTCATTTTTAAGTTCTACTTGGTAACTAAAAATAAAATGTAGTCAGAAGTATTAAGGTTTACCTCATTTTACATTTATATTTTGGTAAGCAATAATAAACAAAACTGGTCCAGATTCTAGGCTCCCAATGAACATGGTTTTGTGTTTATCACAGTCATATGCACAGTTCAAATGGTTCTACTAAATTGACTCTAAACAAAACACATCATTCACTAACCTGCTCTGAGTTGAGCTGTGAAGAACCATCCTGAAATATCATAGTAGTTACAAAAGCCACTGCCTGTTCTATAGTTGCAAGCAATTCTCTTTTTTCTTCACACCCCAAACTCCTGATATCACAAGGATAATTTTCAGAAGACTCTCTTTGTCCAGAAGTACAGTTGTACCTCCCTTCATGTGAAAAAGTGTAGGTCTTTACAGGTAATCTCCTTGTTTTCTCTGAACAACATGTAGGCACATCTTGCTTTCTTTTAAGGGGAGTAGCTACATTCTTTTCACCATCCTTCAGGTTTTTTGCTTCTACTGAAAGATTTCTTTCTCTATATCCCCATGTTGGCAAGCCTAAATCCTGGTAATAGCTCGCTATTTTGGTACCTTGACAGCAAAGCATTTCATCGGTATGTACTGTCCTGACTATCTGACCAGCAGTACTTTTTTCAGGGCTGGCAAATGTTTTCAACAAGGCAATTGTGGAATCACGAATCTCCTGGAAAAATTGGAAATTTTTTAGTGAACCAATTATTCAACTTATTCGGAGAAATAAAAATAAACATACATGAGTTAATTTAGATAAGTTTTGAAGGAAGTGATAATCTATGAAAAAAATGTTGATACTAACAAAACAGAGTCAGTTTAGGGGAACATTACATAAAGCAAAATTCAAGTATTTATCAGTAAAGATTATTTTGTTGATTTATATTGCTTACATCCAAAACCACCCCTGTTTTTTTAATCTTAGTTCAACACTAAAAATGGCAAATTAACAACTGTAAGATGCATCTAGTCCAGTAGCCTGTCTTCCATAGTGACTAGGTTATTAGTGACCTTTGTCTGAAGAGAGAAGAGACCATTCATTTCCATCTTTAGCTTCAATATTCAGAGCTTTTTGCATGACAGCTTGGTTTATTGAAGAACTTTCGGCAAGGAACCATAATGACTACTTTGGAAATTCAACTACACTGAGTCAACCGATCCCCACCAATACAAGATTATAAGAAGTAACAAAAATACATATGAAAGTTGCACTGAAGAAGTATTATCAGGTGTATGAATAAGTATTATATCCTATTCCATTTAATCCACCATGCCCAGAACAGCTTTCCTACTCCAGATAGTCCCTGGATCCCTTTACAGCAGCATTCTATTAAATAGCATTAAGCAAGAAGTTGCATGGTAATATTATGATTCTACTCCTTCATCCTTGATTTCCTTCAGAAATTTCCTTGGTATGCTACTGGCCCTAGTATTTTCTTACTCTTTATTTTGCTAGTTGCTTCTACAATGTCTTCAGCTGAGAGAGATCCTCTGTCTTTATTTCATAAACAAGGACTCTGGAATGGCAACCAGCAACCTTTCCAAGATTCCCCAAGGTAAATGTGTATTTAACTATTTACAGATTATAGAGAGTTGTATCTTCCCTCAATACTCCTCTTATGCCTTGATCACCAACAGGCCTTACAGGACCTGGCGAGTTTTGACTCCTGAGGCATTTGAAAAAATGATAGATTATTAGCGATGCATTTGCAAGCTGTTTCTCAAAGTTTGTTTGGACTATACTATTGTATATTTACATTTAACTTACTCAAATGAGGCAACTATAAAAGAATACAAATTCTGGTAAGTTCAGCTTTTTGCATGATGACATTTTTTAGTAGTCTCCTTTATACTGTCGCTTAGCCATACTTCTTTTTCCTGGACAGATTTTAGTATTCGTTTTAAGTCTCCAATATTCTGTTTTGGATAAATCCCTATACTACCTACAAATGTTTTGGTTTTGGAGGGGAAATTCCATACTTTTTTTTTTTTTTAAAAGCTCCTCCATTTTTATGTAATTTCCTTTTTTGAAATGAAGCATTCCTGTAGTGACTTATCTATCTTTTAATGCCTTGGAAAGATAGTCCCTGTCAGAGCACCTTGCAGCAGGAAGATTTTGAACCTGATCCCACACAGAATCAAATGAAAAATAATTTGTGAGTTCTCTAACTGTTCCACAAAGCAGTTGTCTCCTAATTTTTAGTCTCAGCATCATGCATAAGCATAATATTCACCCACTCCATTGAAAAGTAACTGAAGCCTCATAATTACTGTATTTTCTGCTCTTGTAGCACAGCCAGTGTCCTTCAGTACCTCTGCTGTCACTACCATTCCAAAAACCAAGGCCTTCTCACTTCAAAAAAACCACAAGTTACTGCTGTGCAGGGCTCCCATCCATTCCCCAAGACAACAGTTTTCACTGATCAAAGGATATCATCTATCTCTATTCAATCTGTATTGATTGAGCAAGCCAGAATGACAAAGCCAATAATTTTTTTTTTTTCTGCTTTTGCAATATTCCTCAACCTAGTTCCTGTATTCCCAAACCTCAGAACTACGGAGTCAAAAGATAAAAAAGGCTTAGGCTGCTTGAGATCATAATTCACAGGATCAACTCTACAGCAAAAGTACAGTTAACAGGCTCTAAGTAAATAGAAAAAGGGAGCCAATTAAGCTTTTGCTACTTCCAAAATGAATAGTGGTTGTTCTGAACGAAGACAAATTAATTGGACTTTGGCAATGCTAATCAAAAAGTGGACACTAAAAAGTTACCATAAGTGGAAAAATAATCCCACAGAAGGACCAAATGTTTAAGAGCCGTAGAAAGACAACTAGTTCACTCAAGTGTATTCTCCAGTCAAACTGCAAATAGTTTTATTGTTTAACACAGTAGAATTTGAATTAGGACACTCAAGTACTTATAGAGTCAGGAATAAGCAATTCTCTTTTAAAGGTTCAAAAATAAGAACAAAGCAATTTAATTATCAAGTCAGAATAATACAGCTGGAACTACAACTAACCACAGAGAGAAGCAGCAGCTTCCAGGAAGAACTGATCTTCTACTAGAAATAATGACATGGCTGGAAGTAGAGAAAACAACTCCCAGGATGTAGTTTCATAATTTATGTGGCTGTAGGAAAATTTCACTAGATGCAGTGAGTCAAAATTAGCACTTTATCACCACAAAAAGGGGTTCTACTACTATCCATGTGCACCCACAGCTGCATGTCTATCTATGAGCCAGTTTAATTTGTAGGAAACTATCCCACCCTACAAAAGAAACCAGTTTTCTGCATCTTGAGCAACCTGAATGGACTTGCTGAAGTGTGCAACATGCACCAGAGTCAGAGTATGGAAGGCTGTGAAATTTGCAGCTGGGACAGGAGGACACTTGCAGTATCTGCAACTCATCAATTCACTGAATGGATCTTACAATCACAGCCTGAATTGGGGCTGCTGCAGTTATCCATTCCCATTCCTGTACTGGCACTCACTCACATTAAACCAAATTCAGAGAGATGATTAAACCAAAAATTAAACTTCCTAATACAAAGTAATTTTTCATACGGATCAGCTCACTTTATGATTATGTGCTAGTGATTGTTCAGTGACAGAGGTTTGAGAACATTTTTAAACCCTGGTAACTATCTAATCATGGCAACCTTACTTATTTCTGATCAATCTCTCACAAAAGACTCACTTCCTATAAAAGGGATAACAGAAGCAGGGCCAAGACTCTCATAGGTAAACAGATGCCAAGTGCAAAATAAGACAGAGGGAAGTTATCTAACTATGAGTGTATTCAATATATTGTGATAAAGCTTGTTATGAAAGAGCCAGTCTATAACAACTTCAAACCTGCTATAAAAAGACTGCTTTTAGTAGTCTTCAATCTTACAATATGCTTGCCTTTTCATTTTTCAGATGTGCATCCTTATCATCTAGTTTATTTTCCCTTGTCTTCTCTATACCTTTAAAAAAAGAATGGGAAACATTTTACAATACAAATGAATCTGAGAGTAGTGCATATAACTTAGGTTACATACAGTGTTAGGTTACTGACACTTTTACCAAACCTAAAATAATTGCAATAAAATTTTCCATGACAACCATTTTCTTCAAATTAATACCATTCATGCTTAAACGGGCCCTGCAGGTTCCTAAATATGCATATGCAAAAGCGTGCTCTGTCCCCATTAAGAAAAAAAAAATTCGAATTTGCTACAAAGCAGACAAACATTTTCCACTGTATTCAGAAGAGGCATTACTATACCACCATAAATATGCATATTTCCTTCTTTCAAGAAAACACATTCCATCTTGGTCAAAGTAAAGCTGGGGGTATGGGCAAGAAGAAAAAAAAAAAAAAACCAAACTCTACACACTTCACACAATTTAACTGTTTTCTTGGAATTAGGCAGTATTATTCCACAATAATTTTCTTCAGTAAAACACTATTTGCATACACATCTTTAGCATATCATGCCCTACAGAGAACTGACCATGCTTCATCTGCAGAGGATAATTTTTTCCACATTGTTCATCCTCGCGATGGAACAGGTATTGTAAGACCAGAGAAGAACAGACAGCAAGGAGAATTCAGACCTATCGAACTGACAGAAAGGTAAGGTAATAACTAGCATCACAAGAAGCAGGATGGATATCAGTGCTGGGTCTAAGGTAAGCCCTGTGCCACAGCACAGCTGTTAGCCTGGGCCCACCACCGAACTACCAGCGATATTTAGCCTACAGCTTTGAAAGCAGACAGACAGTGTACTTTAAGGAAGGCTTTGTAAATGCACCTCAGGACTCCCTATCACGCGAAATGAAACAGTTACAACATGCCTTCTCTTTTCTGCCCTCAACACTGCCCGGTAGCCCCAAGAAGAGAGGAGAAGCAAGTGAAGACTGGAATAAAAAAACAAGAGGCAACAGGCTAGCAGTAGTTACAAACTCAGTAGGTGCAGGAAGAGGAACAGGGAAAAAGATAACACTGACATGCAGGTCTCTGCAGAGTTTGCCATTAGTTAGGATTCCATTATCTCTAGATAATTTTACTGCCCAGCCAAAAAACACCTCATGGGCAAAATATGTATTTTGTCCCCTTCAACTCCTGGTCCATACCAAGTACAACACTCCACTGCTCTTTTCAGCTATGAAATTTGCATTACCAGCAGCAAGACACTTTCTGAATCTGATATGCTGATGACCAATTTCAAACAAAGCATAAGGTGATCTATTTCTATTTACTGAAACTGTTTTTAAAAAAATTTGTCTAGGTGTTGTGGTTTAACCCAGTTAACAGCTGTTAACCACACAGCCGTTCGCTCACTCCCCCCCACCACCAATGGGATGGGGAAGAGAATCGGGGGGGAAAAAGTAAAATCCATGGGTTGAGATAAAGACAGTTTAATAGGACAGAAAAGGAAGGCAAAATAAAAATAATAATAATAATAATAATAATAGAATATACAAAATAAGCGATGCATAATGCAGTTGCTCACCACCCGCCAACTGATGCCCAGCGAGCTCCCGAGCCAACTCCCCCCAGTTTATGTACTGAGCATGTCATCACATGGTATGGAATATCCCCTTGGCCAGTTTGGGTCAGCTGTCCTGGCTGTGCCCCCTCCCAGCTTCTCACTGGCAGGGCATGGGAAGCTGAAAAGTCCTTGACTAGTGTAAGCACTACTTAGCAACAACTAAAACATCAGTGGGTTATCTCATTATTCAAGTACTAAATCCAAAACACAGCACTGTACCAGCTACTAGGAAGAAAATTATCACAGCCGAAACCAGGACACTAGGCAAACCAGCACCCTGTACTTAAAATACTAAAAAATCATTTTCAAAGACTAACTAGCTTAGTCTCCAGAAAAAACTAAGCTTATTACTTTATAGTATTACATGCAGTTTCATGTTGGTGTATATGTATAATCAGTTATTTATCTCCAGCTCAAGCTTCTAACCTGAGCTGTTAGAATAGTAAATATGGCATAGCTGTATTTGTAGCTTCAGACATTTTAGGTTTGGTTTTCTTGACACTTCCTACAACAATAAAATTATAATTTAAGAATGATAGTAACTGAGTTTACATTCAATGTTTTTAATTGTTTCACAGCTAGACACTTTTTCTTGAGAAATTCACCCTGGAGAGAAGATAATGAGGATTACATTTCTCTCCTTCAGCACACAGTATTCAGAACGACAGGTATCTGAAGAGCTATGCAGCCTCAAATTTCGGGTTTGTGAAAAAGTATCACCAGATGGCAGTAGAAACCCATCCTCGCCTTCAAACTCCTTAAGGCTAGATGGAACCATTACAAGCTCTACTGCCAAAATAACCACAGAATTTCACCCGCTAGTTCAACATCGCAGGTATGTCTTATTTGAACCAAATACTTACCTTCTAAAGACAAACAGTTTTTCCAGTAAGTAGAATTTAATCTTTAAAGATCTATCAATAAAATACAGTTCAATGCAGTTTGAAACAGACCAACTAACATGACAGGTTTTGGTTTTTTTAAGGGAGGCAAACTTCTCTGCAGATCCACGCTGATCCACTAAAGCTATATATACAGGCAATTTCGTAAGAGCAATTCAAATAAATTTGTTCTTAAGCCTGTACACTAGAAACAATTGAGTAATTACTACATGGAAAACAAGAGCAAGAAAAACTAGTCATGTGACCTGCTACCACTAAATGCTTATACTGTTCTTTCCCTCCCCAGTGAATGAGGATTTTAGCAGCACTGCAAAGACAACAGCAAGCTCATTTGGCTAAAGATACCAGACACCTTCATAGTGTTTTTTTAAAAAGAGAATCTGTAATTTTACAGCTTGACAGAGAGTGAATGGATCAAGAGCAGACAATATAACACAATACAGATATCGCACAGTACAGAGAATTCCCAAGTCCAAGACAAAAACATTACACAGGAAAATGAAGGAAGGGAAAATGACAAGGTAGCAAGAGAAGTAGAACGGCAACTAAACTGAGTCTGAAGAGAGATCCAATTTTCTTTAAAGTAAGCTGGGTTTTGGTCCAAATGTCCTATTTTAAGATGAACCCATCCCATATTTCTTCAAATGTGTATCACTGATTTACACAGCAATGAACTACTACCCTTTTCACTGCTACACCAGGCTCCACTGATCCAATACTTTGCTACTGAAAGAAGAGCCTGAACTGTTATTTACGTAAAACTGAGGCTGCAACGAACACCATGTATACAAGAACAAATGCTAGATTTAAATCTCATCGACCAGATAATGTTCCAGGACCTAGTTCTCAGGAGAAAACGGGCAACTGAAAATGAGCAAAATTCATAACTTTCTATCTACTTCTTTCCAGAGCTACAAGAGTGGCAGACTATGAAATACAGAGAATTGAGAATAGAAATTCCATCTTGCAAAACCTCCCTAGTATCCACAACATTCTGAGTAAGATTTGCTCAACAAAGATCTGCTGAGGCACTTTTAACATTACCTAATTTGCTCTACCACTGGGACCTTTGTTCACTCTTCCTCCTAGAATTTCACAAGGAGTGAGTTGCTAATGAACATGTGTTTAAAGGACAGACTCAGGTCTGGAGAGTTCACAGGCCTTCTGGTAAGTTCCCACTACCTCTAGTGAGCTTTAAATATCTAGTCCAGAGTCAAGTTAACATATACATTTAATTTGCTGTATTAGTTAATTAACAGTTTGAAATTCTCATCTACTTTTATACCACATAGCAGGAACAGAAAGAAAAAAAAATAATGAAATTGAGGGTACTGGTAATATCCTAGTTCCTTACACTCACAGAGCGTTATTTAAACAGAGAAGTGCCAGCAAATGTCACAGTTACAGCTTAATTTCTTTTCTAAACCTGGAAACCTAAATTCTCACTTTTTTTTCTTTTTAAATAGGGACTAGAGGTTTGATATAATTTTGTTTGTTTGGGTTTCAGTTTTTCAACTGAAAATAGAAACACTTAAACAGGCTAAGATTTACTCACTCTGGTTATTTTTTCTGCTAGTCTGAACTTCTACAGGAATAGACTGCAAAGCTGTCATAATCTTCCGAGCAGTATCAGATAAAGGCACTTTAGAAGTCTCACATCCTATGTATGATGTGTACCGTTCCATTTTTAAGATTAAACCTAAACACAGAACACACAAATTATGCATATCAGGGCCACAGAGCAATCTGCACTTACTTTCTGTTGAAATTAAAGACAAAATATAGTGAACATGTTCAGCCATTCATTCTCCTCGATAGAAAATTACATTTCCTCCCTGACACGCCTATCAGTTTCTAAGTATTCTAAATAAAAATTAGCAAATTGCAGTAATTTACAAAAACCACTAAGTGAAACTTTGAAATAGTGTTCTAATACACCGATAAAAAATTAAGCAGTCCTATTAAGTAAAGCTAACTTCTAATAAAAAAATCTGACAAATAAACCAAGAATTATCATTTATGTCTGAAATACTTCCCCCTTCCTCAACATCTTTAAACTAGTCTATATCTAGCATATGCATACATTTACTGTTATTGGTGCTCAGATTTTATCAAGAAAAGAGCCTTTCAAGTAACTGCCAAAATAGAGCCAACACAAAGAAACAAGTATTACTATCACGATATACAAACATTAGTGATGTGTTATTTGAGAAAATACTTATCATAGAAAGACCTCTATTCCTTAAACTTTGTATAATTGATGTACTCAAGCACTATTAAACATTAAAGAGTTACTATAGTTTATCTGTCAATTTAAGAAACAGGTTAGCAACACCTGAAGTCTCTACAAGCTTCGACTGCAGCTATTGCTGTTCTAAATTTTATCCTTTTCTGAAAAGCAGTTTCTTTTCCAGTTGACCTGTAGCCATAGTCTATAATACATACAAAATACTTGGACAGTCCCTAGATACAACACATATGGGAGAATCAGAAACAAGGGTGTCCATACTGATGACTTTGTTGACTTTATGTAGTTAGACCAGAACAATGCATAAAACTTACCACAAACACAAGATAAATACCCAACATTTTCAAAATATTTAAAGGATTCAAGCTGTACAAGTCAATTGCTCTACCAAAAACTGCTGTTAAGTAAATTATTCCTACACAAGTTAATAACTGGAGTCCTGTTACTCTGGTCTTCTCCCACTAAATCTAGTGCATGAGTAGACTTTCAAGTCAATTTAAGCATCAAGTAAACAATATTTCCTCTGCTTACATGGAAATATTTTTCTTAGCTGAAGGCCATCGGCAGATTGCAAATTTGAATACTTACAAGTACAAACCATTTGTATCCAGATTCAAAGAGGAACATCCATCAGGCTGCAATAGTATTGGCTATATCTATCTAGCTCAAATTTTATAGCAAGCATGCAAAAGGGAGAGAGACAGAATGGCTTTCTTTTCCATGACATTCCAGGAGTCAGAAGCATAATCTTTCTTTCCCCATGCACCACGCCTCCTAGCTTTTATAATTAAGAGCAATGCTTCATTTCTACACAGGGTAAAAACGCTCCCTGACTTCTCAGGGTGGGAAGCAGCAGTCTTAAAGCCTCAGGGGCATATCAAAATGGGAACCTAGCAGACTAAATATAAACGAGACACTATGCACAAGAACACACCTAAAACCAATACACAGATGAAGTATTGACAACACTGAACTGAATTTGAAGTGTTTGGCATTTAATAAACATAAGGTATAGAGTTAAGCAGCATGAAATCCAGATATAGAGACATCCAACCAGTAAGTTAAAAAAAACCTAAACATTTAAAAATAAGTTATACTCACATAAAAGTTAAAAGTCTGCCATCAAAATAGTTTTAAGACTACTGTTACTGAAGTTAAAGCTAATTTACTAACCATCAATATGTACAACTCTTGAAATCAAGCACAGCTGATCCCATCAAAATATAGAAGACTGGAAGCCTATTTAGTTCCATTGGTATATTAGGAAGCTATATAAAAATTTGATAAACAGCCTAACAATGCACATGAAAGCAGAAGTATGAAAGCATCAGGACCCTGAATTGAAATGCCTATCATAAATCATAGCGCAAACTCAGAAGTCCAAAAGGTAAATTTAAAAATTCTTTTTATTTGAGGAGCCCAGTATGAGTATGGACTGGTTTCAATGGAGAAGATAGACCATAAGTTAAATTAAGAGATATCGGGATAGTCTTAAAACAGATGGTCTTGGTACTTGAAACAGATTCTGGTACATATTCCAACACATTTCTAACAAAACCAAATCTTCTTAGGAGAGCTACAAGGGAAATAATCACAGAACATCTGCCTTGGAGAACTCTCTTCTACAGAATGAGCACATTACATTCATGTTCCAAAATCTGGAATGCATTCTCCGCATTTATTTTTCATTTCACATATCAAAGGTTCTTAGCATGCAAGAAAACTTATCTCAAGGGTATGAAATGTTCCTTTTTGTGCTATGCTGTGTGCAGTGGAAATCAACATACAGGCTAGCAGAAGAGCAGCCTGAATGTAATTCGTTCAAATAACCAATGTATTACTTCATATCGAAGAACTTTGACAAAACTGAGATTTGAACTCAGTGGGCAGATGCCAAAAGCCATAAAGCAGCATACAATCCAAACTTCTTAACTGTGGCAGCCAAACATACATTGCAATGATAGATAAATGTTAGCCTTGATAAGCTAATACTTATCATTCCATAAACTTGTAGACAGTTTACATTAACATGTTTTCGTTTCTTAAGAGTACATTGAAGTTTAATCGTTAAGAACTTCACTGGTGGTGAAATTCTAATCTTCCAGACCACTGGCTTTAGCCTCAGCCTGCTGCTCAAGCTTCTCCACCATCTCTTTCAAGTGGTCTTCATCTTTGAAAAAATACACATACAAGTTTCTTTCCATCTGATGCAGGTTATTGGACTCTAAAAAGTTTCTCTTTGACTTCACATCAGCAATCAGATCCATAAGGAGTTGATTTAGTTTATTTAAATCAACTTCCAGTTGATGAAACTGCTCAGTAAGTTCCTAACAACAAATACAAGACAAAAAATTATTACTTTTATACTGTTAATACACTAGCTGAACTAGAAATATAAAAGTTTTTTGCTTTTGGAAGCTACTTTCATTTGTAAGTGAAAAGTCATCACAAAAAATAGAAAACACAGGTGATAAGGGATTCCATTCAATTTATGTAACTTTTGAGCTTCATGTAACAGTACTCACATCAGGTTATGAAAATGTAATTTCATTTACTTGTTTACTAAACCAGATGAGTTAAGACAATAAGAATCTGGCCCTCAACTAGATAGATGGTTGAATGACATTTTTAGTCAATTACAAGTCTTCATAGCTAGTCAATTCTTAAAGGGAACACAAAAAAACCCACAAGAAAAAAGCCAATTCAATTTTAAAATAATTAAATCATTAATTACCAGCTACAATTTTCCCAACTGTCATTCTTATGGTAGTTCAGTGTAAGTAGGCTAGTCATCTACTTGCACGTTATTTCCTTATTAAAAGAATTACTTTTCTTGAGAAACAGTAGCAATAGAAAGATGTCACTGTTTTAAGAGGTAACTTGAATCAATAGAAAGGTATTTGATTGATTTAATAACATGTAATCCCTAAATACATAGAGTTCCAATTACAAAGTTTCATTTTTTAAATAAAAGCTGTTCTATATGTTGCAAATTCACTTGACAGATGGAAGTGTTAAATATATTTTTATGTATTTAACCAAGGAAGTATTATGTAACAGAAGAATCATAGAATCATAGAATCATTAAGGTTGGAAGAGACCTCCAAGATCGAGTCCAACCGTCAACCCAACAACACCATGCCCACTAAACCATGTCCCTAAGCACCTCATCTACCCGTTTTTTAAATACTTCCAGGGATAAGACTTCCCTCAATCCACTTTTGAGATATCTACAATTATCTAAAAACCATAACAACTTGCATTTAACAACCCTTATTCCCGTTTAAAAGAGGTTCTAAACCCAACACCTGGGAGCTCTGTAGCAGGATTGTCCTACTACAACTGTCCTTCAAAATTCTGATATTCTTTTTTTGTCCAAATGACCCACCCATGGCCAGGCTTTTTAAGGGGCCAAACCGTACTATTCAGGTGTTACAGGTAATGGGAAAAAAAGCCCGTCTGAAAAAAAGAGAAATTTAAATGAATTTTTCAGTGACGCCATATCCAGACAATGTATTTCCCACACCATAAGCTTACTAGCAATACAGGACTACATATGCCTTTGAAAGGAATTAAAAGCTGGATGCAACGATTTGCTCACAAAACAAAAATTATTACCTGCCAACATTTACAAAATCCAACATTTGCCAAGACCAATGTAAATACTGGGCCCATCATCATTATGCTAATAAATTTGTTGCTGACATGTGGGAGCCAGTTTGTGTGTCTACAGCCTTCATACTACATTTTTCTCAGTAAAAGAACATGACACACATTAATGTAATATTTTAATAACTAGATAAGGGCTTACCCGACTACTGAGTTGTATCTGATTTCCTCCATGATACAGAGCATCATGAAGGGTATCTACATCACTTTTTAGCTTAGACAAAAGGAGAGACTGTTCTTGAGAAGACGCTGCTAGCTGATCTTGTACCGTAGCACAGTCCTGCTTTAACTTCTGAGCCATCTGCTCCAGGCTTTTGTATGTTTTAAACAATTGTTGTTTTTTGTTTTCTCCTTCCAGAAGCCGATATAGCCTGTAACAAATTAAGTCAGACACACAAGCATTTTTAAGTTTCCTAAGCACTCCTGTCATTATTAGTCAAGAGATGTTCATGTTGAGAAGCCAGAGGACTAGTAAAGGACAGTACTGCTCAGGGTACTCTTACTACACTGCTGTATCTCCCACTGATTTAATGATTCTATCTATATATAGCTAGTACACGATTAATAAGACTCCAAAATGTTTCAATATTAAATTAACAGCAATGAAATACCGAAGTAACAGTTAAGTACACAATGAATGCAAACAGAAGTTGACAACGTGCTTTTGCCAACTATTTCCCAGCACTTCAAGTACAGCAAAGTAGGATCCAATTTTTTTAAGTGCTGAAAAACAGCAGACTTCAATGGCCAATGAGAAATAAGAGAAAT